GTAACTCTGTAGCTTATAAAATGACTGAACTGTAAAGCTCGACTTTTGTGCAAAGACTTTTGCATCGCATGTTACATCATTCCAATCGGAACATAAATTAAGAGAGACGATTCAAAAAAGTGTTAGTTGTTATCTAAATAAATAAAAAAACAATGAGTATTGAAGGATTTTTTTAGACGTGATACAAATAAATTCTGAATTAGTTTTCTCGAGACCAAGATCCGAAAAGCTAAAATCACCGGGATCGATACCAGACTAGATTTACCGAGGCCATGACGGGAACCACTAGAAAACAAGTTACTGAGGTCAAGACTAGGCTCCGTTAACCGGGGCTACGACTGATACAGAGACTAGATCAGATTTACTGGGGTATGATCGGAAGCGGAACTAGACTAGATTTACTGGAACTATGGTCGGGATCGGGACTAAGCTAGAATTATCTGGGCTATGCCTGGGACCAAAAAAACTTGGTCCGACACGTCTCTAATGATGGCACATTTCAATGAAAAATATCTCATCACGGAGTACGTATGAACACATTTAATCTTGCAGAGATTGCAATGATACTTTTTAAATAAATATTTTATAATAATTTTAAGGAATAAAAGATTATTATTTCAAGTTTTGTTGATTTTGAATTCATATTAATACTTTGTTGATCATTAATTTAATTTATTAGCTGCAAGAGTAAATGTCGCAAATAATTACATGTGAAGACGTACACAAATTTATTTGCTCGATCACAGTTGTTTATCTTAAAACTCGCAATTAACGTAAGAAAAAAAATCTATATACCTGTTTATTAGAAAATAATTTTGGTCTTAATTTACTCAGACAAATATATGTTTCAAGATTTCCCTTGAAACTTCTGCCACGTAACTCTTGAGCTTCGATAAATCGTTTTGATTTCATTGCTTCAGCAACAGCCAAAGTTTTTTCTACACAATGCATTAATGGTACACGAACTGTTTGATTACCACTAAGAGCAATAACAACTGGTTGTGATGTTGGTGTAGCTTCCATTAATGCAAGAACAGCTTCTGCACCCATTCGTGTACCCTAAATAGAAAATGAAAAAATTTATGTATACAGAAGATTCATTTTTTCAATATACAAGAAGTCGATCAAATGCTGATGGACAACCACCACGTTGAACATGACCAAGAATAGTTACGCGTGTGTCATATTTAAGTCGTTTTGAAACAAGCTTAAATATAAATATCGATTAGAAATTAATTATTTATTAAGAAAACAAATTTTACCTGACGAACACCATCACTTGTTATTGGATTACCATCATAATCAGTAGCACCTTCAGCAAGAACAATAATATTTAAACGTTGTCCCATTTCTCGTGACTATTTAAAAAAAACAATAATAATAACTAGAAAGAAGACATTTAAAAACTTACATTTTTAAGTTTATTACATAATTGATCTTCCCATCCTGGTTCAGGTGGTGATTCAGGTATAAATACCCAATCAGCATCTGATCCAAGAGCAGTAACCAATGCTAAATAACCACAATGACGACCCATTACTTCAAGAACAAAACAACGTTGATGACTATAATAAAAAAAAACAAACAGTATCATTAGTTTTAAAAACAATCAAAATAATTCTTTCATATTTACCTTGAAGCCGTTGTTGTAATACAATCAATGGCTTCCATAATACGATGTAAAGCTGAATCAGCTCCAATTGTCATATCTGTACCACAAAAATCATTATCAATCGATCCGACAAGGCCAACAATATTTAAATGCTTATATTTATTAGCATTTTCTTTTGTAATTTCATCTAGAAAATTAATGAACATTTTTCTTCTAATAAAATAAAAATTCTTTCATATTTACTTTTTTGAACAAGTTCTTGTAAAAGACTATCCCATTCTTTACGAAACAGATTTGCTCCTGTCAATGATCCATCACCACCAATACATACAATATTATTAATACCATGATCAATTAAATTTTTTGCAGCACGTAATCGACCAGGTCTTTCACGAAATTCTTGACAACGTGCACTACCAATAATTGTTCCACCCTAGATATTTATAAAATTATTTTATTAAAATAAAAACTAAAAACTTTAAATTTATTTACATCATCAAGAATTCCAGAAACAGATGCCCATGTTGCTTGACGAATACTATTACCACCATCAACTAGGCCTTGATAACCCTATTCAATAAAAATAAAAAATAAAAAAATCAAACTATTCGATTCTATCAAATAGGTGTAATCTTTTAACCTCATGTATGAAATAAACTTTACAACCAAGATAAATACCCATACGAACAATAGCTCGAACGGCTGGATTCATTCCTAAAATAATATAATATTTACTAAAATTCTCATATAACGAGTGATCGAAAAGCTCATCCTACAAGATGTTTGTTGGCATTTAACCCACTAGAGAGTATTTCGACGTGTCAAAAGCTATGAGTTTGTGCTCTTTTCGAATATGAACTTAAAATTTTTGTCTGAGTTTTTATTCGAGAGTAATGAAATTATAGATTCACAAGAAATCAAATTTATTCCGTTTCACTTTTATCCTTACATATCTTTTAAAGATGTAAGAATATTTTTGTTTAGTCCTTTTGAATATGAGTAAAGGAAACAGGCTTATTCATAGGCGTACACCCAAAAGAACTAAAGAGATTAAAAGAACTGAAGGAATTAAAAAGACTAAAGGATGAAAAATATGAAAGTCATAGCAGCCTGAAAAGCATAAAAGTAAAATACTTTAATTTAATTTCTCATAGCTTCTTCAATGAAAAAATCTTTGAAAAATCGAAAAAAATTAGTTTGGACAGAACTTGTGGACCAACGTTTCCAGTGAACGTATTTGGTCATTTTGACTTGCTTGAAAGTATTTTAGACGAGCCAAAACTAAAGATCGCAACCAGACTTTGAATATGAGCTTAGAAATGTTGTGTTTATTTTTTAAAAGATTATTTTTAATGGTGAGCAAACAGGTCGTCATTTACTTCATAAATCCCTTTTTGGACATGCTAAAAATTGTTGAAATCGATTGTTTTGTAGAGCGAATAATTCTCTACAAAAGGCGATATTGAACTAAGCTACAGCTTTTACTCAAATAGTTTTTCAAGAGCTCCTTTCAACGTAAAACGCTTGTTGATTTTCCAAAAATGAATATTTAGGAAAAACGAAAATTAAGGTACCTTGTCAAAAGACAAAAAATAGTGCATTTTGCAGGAATTTCCCGTTGAAACTACTTTTATTTGACTTTTCAAACGTTATTTCACTACTCTCGAACTCAATTTCTAGGTTCATATTTGAACAGAGCACAAACTCATAGCTTTTGACTCATCGGAAATACTTTCTAGTGGAACCTAAGTGAACAAACATCTTGTCTAAAACTTTCCAATCATTTGTTATTAATATAGTGTTAAGCGAATACATACCTTGTGCATCTCCACCACTTGTAAATACACCCATAGCACGTCCTGGATATTGATCTTTAGCAATAACATGAAGATTTTGTTCCAAACCTTCAACCCATGCAACTGAACCACGATATTTACTGAATGGAGTATTGATTAATATAGATGACGTGTCAGAACTTGTATTGGTAAAATCCGATCGAAGTTCACCAAGTGTATCATTCTATAAAGAAGATATTAATTTATTAAGATTACGGTCAGAATTTTGACTATCTAATAAGTGGATATAAGCGATAAAAAAAATTAATGAATATATTGTGAAAAGAAAATATATTGATGGTCGATAACAGTATTTATCTATTTTTACATTTTATACCGATTGATTTCCTGCGTCCACTCAGTGAATCGATTCATAATTTTGCATAATTTCATTCTATTATTTTAATAATCAAATTGTCTTTTATACTACCTGCATTATGGCTTATAATTATAAATATTTAAATTATATAAAATATGAAGCACAAAAATGAAAATGAATTACTTGCCATGGTAAATAAATACAAAAGCAGAAGATAAAATAATAATAGTGCATATTAGCTGTAAGTGACTGAGAGAAGACAAAGGAACTACTATCGGAATTTTAAAAGAAGGCACCTGGAAAAAAAGCTTATAACTTTCGAACAAAAAGTCATAGCGACCTGCGGTTTTCAGCAATCGATAGAAGATTATAGGG